AATGGATAAACATAGGCAATTAATATTACATCTATTTGTAAAAATATTCTTAATTTACAGCATTTTTCCCAAACCTGCCAAAACTTTTTGCACAGTACTGTTTGACTGGGTGTTATTTTGAACGATTTGAACACATAACTTTACTTAATCTGAAATCCCTGCAATTCAAAGGAAAAAACGTAGCAGTATGGATGTAGCTGCAGTCAAAGGAAGGGGAGGCAATGACGGGAAAGAAGGGTGGAGGGGAGGGTATAAGTTGCTCTAACTGGTCTCTCACCTGCTGCGGTGCACTGCTCAGGCCTCCCTGTCTGGAGGTTAGCTCGGCTGGAATTGGCAGACTCCATGCCTCCTCAATAAGAGGGAGCATTTTACTTTTACCCTGTAGGCTACTGAGCTGGGGGTTACTCAACTGAGCCTAGGGGAATGGAGAACGGCGTGAAAAAATAAAAATAAATAAAACATAAGGTTTTATGTTTTTGGTAAATAAATAAATAAATGATGACCTAAAACAAAGGAAATGATCATCAATGGCATATATGTAGAAGATACAACACAAGTGAGCTCAGCGATAACTTGTGTCTTGGATAACAATGCACCGGTCATGTACAATATTCCACCACACCATCACAGTTACAAGTCCATTAAAACAAGCAGCCCGGCTTGTCTTAATGTCTAGTGGGATCATGATATTGTAACTTCATGCATGTGTAAGGGTAAATGACATAGCTAAGACAAAAAGATGGAGAAACTAACACATAAAGTATTGGAGTAGTTTGAAGCCTGATTGTTAAGTACATGTTTTTAACAAACCTTGTGCATTAAAATTAAGAAAATCTTCCAGGACAGTGTTGTTCATGCGTAAGACATTCTGACATTGTAGCCCTGAAAAAGGATAAATTAAGCCATTTGCATCTCCTAGATTAAAATCTGGCCTAATTAAATACAAACCTAGGAAAAGTTGGGACCCTTTCTATTAATGCAAACTGCCTAAATAAAGTATATCATTTTATGAACCTTTATCCAGCAAAGAACGAAGCCAAATGTGTTCAACGCTTTCATTGACATATATTAAGTTGTTCAAAAGGGATGCCTGTCTTCTCATGTACCAGATATTTTTAACACGGGTCAGATCTGGACTGCAGGCAGGCCACACAAGGACACAAATGCTGAATCTACAAAGCCATGCTTTTTTCATTTATGCTGGACGGTGCTTATTTTCACAAACGAGTCTCCCAAAAATAATTGAGCAATGAGACTTTAAAATCCATCCAACAAAGTTAGTGTATCCATTTCAGTCAATTTCAGGAGAGCTTTAGGATGGAGAACTCAAACCTTTCGTCTTCAATTGCACTATGGGAAACAACTTATTAGGAAACTTATTGAAGTTTGTATATGGATTGATTCAGATGGATATAAAAGATAGGGATGGTAGTAAACAACAGCAGGAAGCATGTGATGGTCATGAAGGCCTTTAATTAATGTCCTAATTCACGATTTTGTAAGATATTGGGGGGAACCAGTAGTACCAGGAGATATATTGAATTTTTTATTTTATAAACACTATATAGATGTATTATATCCCTAAAACCCTGTTTATAGAACCTCTATGGTTCTCACTGCCGGTCTTTCGCTCTGCTTCACCTCTCTCCCTCTGTCTTCCTGACCTTCCCACATCTCTCACATTGAGCAACAACACTGCAGTTCCACACACTGGGAATTAACAGTGGAAGATCCTTTAGTCAATATAAAAAAAACTTATTAGGTGGTAGTTAGGACTGTGAGCAGCAAAAGAATGTGTTTGAGAATGCTAAAAAAACGTTCAAACAACTTTGAGCAACTTGCAGCATCGTGACGAGTGTATGACTGAAGTATCACTCAGTTCTGCTCTCAAAATAAAAACACCGGAAAACTCATATTTCAGCGCACTGCGTTCTTAAATTCCTCTTTGACCCTAGATATCGTAATATCTGTGACACTGGCTTTGGATGATATACTTCAATGCCTGTTCTTTTAAGTATGCCATGATGTTCCCAGTGTTCATTGGCTGATGTACCTGTCTATAGAGGTGTGATACTAATGTATGTATAAGGGGAATCCGTAGAGTGTGAGAGAGACGATAGGGAGAGAGATGAGCATCATCATGACTCAAGGCTCAGATAGAGCCTTTGTTAAGGGACTTTCTCCTTTTTCACATATTAAAACTGCTTAAAGTGCACACTCCACTCTCTAGTCAATGCAAAAGGTAGTGTCACATTATATAAATAGTCGTCACTAGTAAATTATTACAGTCCTTTAAAAATGCATTGGTCTACAGAAACTTCTCAGCAATTTATAAAAAGATCCTTTCACTTTGCATTTTAGCTGCGGCTGTCCGTGCTCGGCACGTCACAGCTTTTTTATGAATGGTTTACATTCCTGTGCTTTGCAAAGCTCTTTCCACCCACCTGCAGGCATTTGATGCGGTGAGTTAGTGCAGTGGCGTTGCTGCAGCCCTTGCTGCGCGTGGCGTTGATGTAGCACTTGATGGCATCGTGCGGCTGGTTACAGGACTCGTACAGCGTGCCCAGATCCATCCAGGCAGCAGCGTGGCTGTGGTCCAGCTGCACGGCACAGATGTAGGCCTGCAGTGCGTCCATGGGCTGGTTCTGCTGCTGGTACAGCACCCTGAAGAGTTAGAAAGTAAGGGGTGAGAAGACTGTAGGCACTTTCATTATGAATGTTTGTGTTCAGGCAAACATAGTTATTGAATCAGTTGCAATCAGTTCAATGCTTTTGAGTTGGTGGACACAGGCCACTGTCAGCGTTTATGATGCCTACCCTATAGAGCACCACGTGTCTGCACTGGCCTCTGATTTGTCTATGGATTGCCGATAAGAGATGAAGGCATCCTGGACCTTCCCGATACTAGAATAGCACCTGCAGGAGAGACACATGTTGTCAAAGTTGGTTTAACAGAACGAAGAACATTTAAAAGACTGAAGACACTCATGGACAAAGTGTTGTTTGAGTAAACAATTATAGATTTGACAAAATATTTTAACATTGATTTGTAAACTGACTGCTATGAAAATAATGTTTAAACTGCATTGAACTCACCTGCCGAGGAAGTACCAGGACTGTCCAGAGTTGGGGTCAGCCTCCAGAGATTTCTGCAGGCACTGGATGGCATAGCTGTCCCTGGTGCTTCTGTCCCCGAGCTGTTCCACTGTGTGATGCATCCAGCCTGGAACAATTAAAAAAAAAAGAAAGAAAGAAAAAGAAAAAAAAAATCAAACCTTGTTCTTGTTCAAAGGAAAGACAGCTTCCAACACCAGGTTCTCCCCAGTGAACTCAGCTTACCTAGCTGCTGCAGGGTTGTGGCCTTCACCTGTGCCGGAAGATCCTCTGTCTGTAGAAGGCTCTCATATGCCTCCTTGGCAGCACGGTATCTTTTCTGGATTTGAAGAGGAGCAAAGAGAAACAAAAAAGTTTTGGAGTAGGTGGGGGAAATCTATTCTTTCTATCTGCTGCTCTTTTGAGGGAACACTGCAGTGGATGATCTCCTTTCATCTAATCTTACTTTTGGCCTTGTGAGCTTGTGTGCCAACTATCTTCATAACCTTCTCTACATCCATTTTTTTGGACAGTAACATCGTCTCCACATAGATGGTCTTACAGATATTTCACTCTTAATGCCACCTTTCTGCCACACGTCACCCCAGACAACTTTCTACATCCATTAAACCCTCTTCTCCAATGTCAATATTTTGAGATGTCTGAATCCTGATCCTGTCCCGTTTGAGAATAATGAGTTAAACAAAGTGCACATTCTTGCTAGAAAATATTTGCAAGTACAAGTTTTCCGTGTATTACAAGCCATTTGCAGTGATGTGTTCAGCACAAACAAGCCAGGTGTTAGAGCACTTCTGCTCTCAAAGCTGGTGGGAGTTACTATATCCCTCTACTGAAACCAAAAGGAGACCACCAGCATACAAAAGAGGGGGAGACAGATTTTCTTGTTTCCTTGGCAACCCCGTCGATGGGCTGAGAGTAATCTCCTATCACCTCCTGCATACCACCCACTCATGCAAGCACCCTGTTTCCTCCTCAATTCCTCAGCACCTGATGCAAAATGACATTACAAGGCTATCCCCGGCACTTAACCGCTCTGCCAGTGGGAGCTGGGTGAAAGGCTGTAGCCTCAATATTAAGACATTGACTCGAGCAGGCACATTCACAAAAGGACACAAGTGAATAGGAAATATCGCTCGTCCTTGAGAGCGAGTGAAACTGCAACAGAGGTTAAATTAAACAGCAGGCACTTACCTGGATCTCATACAAGTGAGCAATGTGGAACTGAACTGTAAAAGAAAAAGAAGTGGCCACATTAGTAAAAAAGGTCATTGGACAATTTCACAAAGATTTCCTCACCCTCTCTCCACATGTTGTTTTCAAGTGGAAAAACCTTCAATTCTGTTTTAGGCAAATTATTCTATTCTACACTTAGTGGAACACAGCAGAAAGGTATAGTTGTGCTCCTGGCAGCACCTTCCTTTGTCTGGAGCGCTGCAGTGTCTGATCTAAGCTGCTTGAGTGACTCTCAGCAGATGGAGAGAGGAGGGGAAAGAGAGACAGAGGGAGAGCGGGAGGGAGAGAGGGAGAGACAGAGAGAGAGCGAGAGCGAGTAAGAGGGGGAGAAGAAAGACAGGGGCTGCCCTTCCCAAGTGTATGTATGTGTGTGTTGAGAGTGAGTGGGAACGAAGGGGGACACAGTGAGGCAAAGGGAAACAGTGAGCAAAAATGGAAATTTCCATCACCAAGGTAACAGGTAGCAGGGCGTGAGAGATGAGATGGCAGCAGCAGAATATTAAAAAGTAGCAATGATTTGATCACAGTGAAGCACAGCAGCTGAGTAATAATCCCAGGCCCAAGACACACTGTGCTGTGTCAGCTGCAGCGTGTCTAACCTACATTATGAAGATTCAACAGCTGGGAGATGGTGTAGTATTGTCGTTGCAAATAGGGTTTCTGCTCTGGAGCGGTTCCCGGTCTTTTCTCTAGTCGTATTTCCCTTTATTCTTAAGGGAGAATGTCCATGGCTCGCTGCTCTTACATCTACTGAGGCCACGCTGTAATGACGCTGCTACAGCTGAGGTTAACCCCATCCCGCAATGGGAACATGGAACATTTAAAATTCTCAACAGAAAGAGATTGCGACTAATTATTTTAGGGTCTGAAGATGCATCCGTTTATAGCTTCCTACCCAACCTTGGTGACATTTGGGAAATAATTATTTTCTTCTCAGTCACCTGGACTTTGGATAGATAGAAAAAAGTTTTGAGTTTCGGCTATCAAGTATCAGAGTTTAGAAAATGAAAAAAGTTTTTAGAAAATATGTCACAAAAGAAAAACATTGGTTTTATTTGTACTTATTTTTATAGGGGTTTATGTATTTACAATTTAAATGACATCACTGGCCTAAAAAAGGTTTTCCGAGTTAATATTTTGTCCATAATTTTGACCTTTGGACATATTTTTGTTCCTGTATGCCAACTATGGCACATTTCTAAAAGAGCTTATTCAAAATGCCAATTACTTTTCAAACAATAATTCCCTCATATTCAAACATTATTTAAAATCATAAAAAAAAAAAAATTCTTACTTTCAGCTTTGGACAAAGTGCAGGGGTTGGAGTCAATCAAAGCCAGCTGAAAATGCTGAAAGAAAGAACACAGAAGAAGTTTTTCAACACTTTCTAGATCACTGATTTCTTTCTTCTTCATTATGAAATTATAAGAACTGTATCTAAGAAATGGACTGGTTAATGACCTTAAGGCTTGACTCATAGTCTGTGTTGACTTTGAACATGAGACCCAGGCGAAGGTGAATCTCCTTGGCCCGGGAGAAGCCTGGGTCAATGTACAGCACCTCCTGGAATGCTTTGATTGCCCTGGACAACACAAAGGGAACCGTTACAGATGTAGTATCCTGTATCCTGCTTGTGTTTTGTGTGAAAAAAACCCCCAAAACATTACTTACCACTGAAAGGCATTATAATGGAAGTAGACCATTCCAAGGCCGTACAGAAATGCAGCATTCTGGTGGTGAAGGAAAATTAATTACTGTAATGTAGAAGCACTGCACAACAACAAAAAAATATAAAAACTAAAACAAAAACTCTCAAGTCTCTAAATGACATCACTGTTTCTTTAAGATTTCACATGCATGTCTTTGAACAGTCATTTGCATAGAGAAACCCAACATGTGGCTTCAGAAGTCGAAAAAAAACAAAAAAAAAAAAACAATAACAAGCTCAAAGTATCCACCACAAAGTTTCATTTTACTAGAAAAGATGTTTTAAAATGACTCAGCATGAAAAACAAAACTAACATAAAAGACCATAGAAGCTTCCTCTGCATACAGAAATGAACACTTACTACAGTGGGAAAGTGTGGGCTGTGTGTGTGTCTCACCTTCCAGTAGTCTGACTGTAAACTGTAGTACCTCTGGTATGCCGATAATGCTGTGATTTAATAAAAAAGAAAAAAGAAAAATGAGTTTTTTGCGGTAATGGTCAAAGTTAGCATTGACAAACGTGTGCAGTGGAATGAAATAAATGGAAGATGTCAGTGCTGAACCCAAATGAGAAAGGCTATGCATTTTCTGACACAAAAAAGGACAGATTACGTGAATTGATTTTTAAATTGTTATTGTGAGCAGGTGTCGCTTTAAGAATGAAAAACTTTTATCACAGAAACAAAGGAAGTTATGATGACGCAATGCATAAAACCACGGCCAGCTCTGGCTTGTCTGAAAGTGCCAACATGTCTGCGGTGTGGACACATTTCAATATATCTGAGAAAGACCAACGGATAGCGTTAGCAAAACGTGTAATGATGAAATTTAAAAAATTTGTAGAGGGGGTGCATCAAGGATTTCTCCACGTCGGGTTTAATTTATCACCTGAAATCCAAACATCCCGATAGCTATGATGAATGAGAGAGGAAGGAAAGCCTCGGCTACAGCCCAGTCGAGGAGCTCCCCGCAACACTCACCTCACACCAGTGGGTCTTAATAGAGAACATTCTCTCTCTTCTAGCCCTGTTTGAGCAGCTAACTAAAGAGATCAGCTCCTCTGATGCACCTGTAGCAGATGTTATTCCTTTAATCGCAGCACTAAACGTCTTCTGATGAGGTTGAGAAGAATCATGGAGTGAAAACTATGAAAAGTACAGTCTGTCAGCACACGTTTCACTTCTGCTCCTCTGCATTTTGTTGCGACTGTATTTTATCCGCATTATGAAGATCATTACTTGGACGTGGGAATAAAAGAAGTGCACACGAGAAATGAGCCAGCAATGTGCACTTTGTGTTTTTACGACAGAACATATTTAATTTTAATCATTCAGCACATTGTACATTATCATTTAATGTACATATAAGTGGGGTCAAGTTTAATATTTTATTTTATATTGTGCATTGTTGGAATGTGCTAAATTTTGTTCATAATTTTGACATTTGACACAGACAAAGCCATAAATGCAATGGTACTAATAATTTTCTAATTTTCGGTTTTAGGCAATTTTAATTTAGCTGCAGCCCTAATTATTATTATAGGCACACCTTTTTCTGTTGGTTCCCTGGTGGAAGTATAAATCATTTAGTTTGACATAAATGAAAGATAAAGGCAAATTTGTTAGTTTACTTGAATTAACGGACAAATATACCCTGTTTACAAGTATAAAGTGACCAAAAACAAATGCTGAATGAAGAGAAAATATGCATCGGAAATCATTAAAATCATGTAATTACTGAATAATCAAATCGTTGTAACCACTTCAAATAGAGAGGTTAGGTGACACACTGTTTAATTATCTGCTGAAGATGATTCAAATTCATTCAAAAATTTCATGAGAGCATGGGAAAAGATGATGACTCACCTTTTGGATAATCCTCCAGGAGGAGGTTGAAGTGACCGAGCTGGCAGAATAACTCCGGCTCCACTTTTCCCTCAGCCTTAAGGATGAGCGAATCGTAGCAGCGCACAGCCTGAAAGAAAAACAGCAGAGCTCAGCAACGTCCATCTGTCTGTGCTTGAGCTCAGAGATGTGTAACCATCTTCATCTGTATTCCGCAAAGAAGGCCAACTGTCTGTGAGGAAACTTCATGAAGACAAGCTTGACCGAACCAATTGGTGTAGAGTCAATCTGTTCTCTTTCCTCACATATTGTTTTTAATAAACATTAGAGGAATGACCTTAACTTATCTTACTCAGGACTGGAATCTGTGCTAAGTAGACTGCAAACTAAACTGGCCCAGGGGACATTAAGGTTGCCTCGGATAATGTAGATGATGGTGCTAAAGATATTATTTCTTCCCATTAGATGGATGCTAGTGCACTGATAAACAGCGGCTGGTGCATGTGAACTGGATTCATCCTTGGAGCAAAGCAGTGTTTTATTAATTCCCTAAAAACCGACAAAGAAGGGTCGCACTGTACACGTGTTTTTCTGCACTCTACACATCCATTCACTGTCTGGTGAGCTCCGTGTATCCCAGCAGTCTCAGTGCATTGTGATTTATCACTGGTGACACAGCAAATTATTTATCGCTGTGTCATTAATCCTGCAGGGACTTTTTTCCCCTGTGCATCACAAACCAACTATTCAGAATCTGAGCAGCTGCAATGCAGTGTCTTCACTTTTACAGATTTATGACATTTATACTGCCTGTGAAACTGGTTTTATGTTGATTTATTTCACCTAATTTTCTACCTTTAGGGCCATTTCCTACACTAATCGAGCCAAGTGTACATTGAACCGCAAGCATAAGTAGACAATGATGTTAGGTTGCATATGTCTATGGAGGATGAAAAATGCATGTGATGTCAGGGTGTGTTTGTAAACAAGGAGATAAAGACAATTTGTATATCATGGTTCAAGAAAGATATTTCCACTTCCTGAGTAGTACTTCAGTAATACTTCAACTATGTCAGATGGTCAAATCACAAATCACACTGTCTCCCACAACTTCAGCTCATCGGCAACAACAGGTGCTGCTCTGCCATTCAGAGCTTAAGGACAGGCAGCTGCATGAGTGTCAACCCAAACAACCATGTCCACGTTTATCCAAAAATGTCAAGTTTTGGATAAAATTTGCCACCTTCAACACTAATAACCCTGCTGCAGCTGGTCCTTCATGTGTGGGGCAGTCACATCACTGATGACAAAGACAGATTTGCGGAAATAGGTGGACATGGCTGCTGTTTCAATGACACATCAACTTCTGTAAATCAAAAGTTATCTTCCATAGCAACACAGGTCTGTGAAACAATTCATAATGATTGTAGCTAAGGCAGGACTGAACCCTGTAGCGTCAAGACTTTGCACTTAATACAACTCTTGAATTAATCAGTAGAGGTGCTTTAACTACCTCATCATCACCATCTTGGCTTTTAATACTGATTCAACAATCCACTTCTCAAAAAAAGAAAATCAATAGCAACATGGCTCCTAGTAACAATCCGTGCAATAATGGTATTTACTGGTCATTAAGTCACACTTTACATTATTGAACCTGTTCTGATAACACAGGTAGCCTATGTTCTTTTGGCTATTGTGTTAATGATCCCAGAACTTATTTTGCCCTCCAAAAGCAAGTTTTGACATATAGAACCAATACTCTGGTTTCTAGTAAATAAAATACAGTTCATTACCCCTTCACCACCAATTGTCACAGCAGGGAACCCTGCATTGAAAACTTCTAGCACATGGTTGATAAATTAAATGCATAATGTAACAAGCAATGTTCCTGCAGTTAGCACCATCGTGAAAAAACTCAGAACTCAATAAGGTCTCAATAAAATAAAGAACAAATTAGTGTTTTTACTTGGCATTTTATCCTGGCCTCAAAACAACCAACTATTGAAGACACATGATGATGCAACATGCTGGTGTTGAGCAAAGGAAATCTTTCAACGGTATAAACAGCAACTAGATTGTCTTAAGTGAGAACTTGGTTGACCATCAAGTAACTAGGTGATCTGTTTCATGGAAACAGTGGGATCAACGGTGCCGAAAAATATCTTTCAAGCTGCATGGTGTAGTTAATTAATTACCAAAGGTCTATCAGGAGAATTAACTTAAATTATCTAATTTTGTGCAAAGAAACAACAAGGTCAAGTATAGACTCCATGTGAAAGAGAGAAGATTATTACTCATCAATTATATGGCAGCTGTTGTAGGGAGAGAAACTTCAATGACATCACATCAGAGAAAATGAACAAATCACATGTATAGGTCTCGTATGGTGTTGTCTTAAAAACAATGCACTCTCTCTTTCCTTACTCTTATTCCTAGTCTCAATGTTGCTCACAACACATAGCTCAAACAGTAAATTGAAATCTTATTAGAATCATTTTCTGATCAGGACCTAAGGCAACGGTCTGAATACTCGTTTATACACACAAGTATTAACAGTCAATAACATATATACCTATAAAATTAACTGTCAGAGCTGTCTCTATGGCTCTGGTGAAAAGAATTCATATTTTAAATCAAATGTGTACACATACATGCTCTAGAGGAAGACGATAACTGGTTCACTGGTAGGATCCATGGTCTTGTATATGTAGCTTCACAAAAATGGTTAGGTTAATTAACCACAGGTAAGAATGTGAGTGTGAATGTCTTTTGCCTTTATATGGCCCTGTGAAGTACTGGGCAACTGCCTAGGGTTCAAGCTGCCCAATGACTGCAGGGAGTGGCTCCAGCCTAAACCATAAGCATCAAAAGGATTAAGAAATTAATTTCAGATAAAACATATTTAGGCACATTATCGGATACAAAAACGAAAGTACCGTAGTACTTGCGTACTACTGTTGACAGTGATTTTGAGGTTTAAGGTAAGATCTCCTAAAAGTATGAAAAGTTTTATTTGTTACAGAGACATGTTGATATTGTAGAGGCACTGTGCATTAATTGTGTATCTTGTATCACAAATACTGCAGACGTGACTAACTGGGTTTTCTTCTAAAACTACTGTGTATATTGTGTATGGTAACATACAGTAAATATTAAATTATTTAGTTGCAAGCTCACACTATATCTTCCAACAACTTATTTAAACTTAGGAATATACATGCATACAGAAATGAAATTAAACAATTGAAACATTAAATCTGCTACAATCTGAAGATGAAAAATTGGTTCTATTCCTTTTTTTCCCCCAATCACTGAACACGTACAATACTATTATCCTGAGGACCACATGCCCACGCCTTGCGTGTTAATTAAGCTAGACCACAGATCATGTTTAAATGGAAGTTTCTTTTCACATATAGAACATAAAAAAATGAACCTCATACATTACACCACAAACTTTTGATATGCAGAAGGTCAGACAAAATCAGACACAAATCACAACCTGGTGTGGTTATCAAGGCTGGAACACAAATATAAAAAGGATATTTTGGCATTTTGAATAAATATAGTAAAACAAATGATCATTTATGTAAACAGTGTTTACACCAACACAGCACACAGACACACACATCAACTTAACAATTGTTGGGATGTAAACGTTTTACTGTGTTATTGTGTATCTATAAAGCTATAGCCTTTCATTTATATTTACAGTCCGAGTTGCTGAAAGAAAACCTTAAACTTAACATGATTAAAAACAAGCAACAGAAAATTAAGCTTTGCTATTTAGTCCAAAATATTAAATGAATGCCAGAGATTTTCTACTTCTTAACAGCTTAAACACCCTGTGTCTCTGCCAATTTATCTGATATGTTTTGTCCATTCTCTTCCTGACTGCTGACTATTGGATGCCTTTGATTCTTCAGCACAACCATGGAGAGTAGAGGGATGACCACATTGTAACACTCTGTGTTGTGTTAAAATATTGAAGTTTTGTTAAAGATTACACTTCTTTAATGTGTAATACATACACACACTGTCATGTTGAGATAAAAATATAAGTATTATACTTGGACAACCAAGTGCAATACAGTGTTCTCTCTCAATATCAGTTTTCCTTTCACTCCCTCAGTACACTGCAGATTTTTTCAAATCTGATCTTGCAAAATTCTCGCTATATCACGGAATATAGCAAAAAATAAACTAAAAGATATTATAAAATCATTATACATCCAAGAGTTTTGGTTTAAGAATATGGATTCCTGTTTTGAAAATGAGGTAAGCGCATTTGTGAACGATTGCAGGTAACTTTGTTTACCTAGACAAGATCGTACACTATTGGCTAATACAATGCGTACTCGGTGTACTATTGGCTAATTGAGCATGCTCTTCTGTTCCTCGCGCTGACTGGCTCATGCATCGTTGCATTTTTCAGCAATTCCCCTCGTCTGTCAGCCACTCTTGTTCACTTCGCTCTGCATCGCCATTATGCAACTCTACTGTGCATATAATTGTG